TGCAGGACACGAGGGTGATGGAGGGACTGTGCAGGGCACAAGGGTGATGGAGGGACGGTGCAGAGCACAAGGGTGATGGAGGGACGGTGCAGGACACGAGGGTGATGGAGGGACGGTGCAGGACACGAGGGTGATGGAGGGACGGTGCAGAGCACAAGGGTGATGGAGGGACTGTGCAGGACACGAGGGTGATGGAGGGACTGTGCAGGACACAAGGGTGATGGAGGGGTGCTGCAGGACACGAGGGTGATGGAGGGACTGTGCAGGACACAAGGGTGATGGAGGGGTGCTGCAGGACACGAGGGTGATGGAGGGACTGTGCAGGACACAAGGGTGATGGAGGGGTGCTGCAGGACACGAGGGTGATGGAGGGACTGTGCAGGACACAAGGGTGATGGAGGGGTGCTGCAGGACACGAGGGTGATGGAGGGACTGTGCAGGACACAAGGGTGATGGAGGGACGGTGCAGGACACGAGGGTGATGGAGGGACTGTGCAGGACACAAGGGTGATGGAGGGGTGCTGCAGGACACGAGGGTGATGGAGGGACTGTGCAGGACACAAGGGTGATGGAGGGGTGCTGCAGGACACGAGGGTGATGGAGGGACTGTGCAGGACACAAGGGTGATGGAGGGGTGCTGCAGGACACGAGGGTGATGGAGGGACTGTGCAGGACACAAGGGTGATGGAGGGGTGCTGCAGGACACGAGGGTGATGGAGGGACTGTGCAGGACACAAGGGTGATGGAGGGGTGCTGCAGGACACGAGGGTGATGGAGGGACTGTGCAGGACACAAGGGTGATGGAGGGGTGCTGCAGGACACGAGGGTGATGGAGGGACTGTGCAGGACACAAGGGTGATGGAGGGGTGCTGCAGGACACGAGGGTGATGGAGGGACTGTGCAGGACACAAGGGTGATGGAGGGGTGCTGCAGGACACGAGGGTGATGGAGGGACTGTGCAGGACACAAGGGTGATGGAGGGGTGCTGCAGGACACGAGGGTGATGGAGGGACTGTGCAGGACACAAGGGTGATGGAGGGGTGCTGCAGGACACGAGGGTGATGGAGGGACTGTGCAGGACACAAGGGTGATGGAGGGGTGCTGCAGGACACGAGGGTGATGGAGGGACTGTGCAGGACACAAGGGTGATGGAGGGGTGCTGCAGGACACGAGGGTGATGGAGGGACTGTGCAGGACACAAGGGTGATGGAGGGGTGCTGCAGGACACGAGGGTGATGGAGGGACTGTGCAGGACACAAGGGTGATGGAGGGGTGCTGCAGGACACGAGGGTGATGGAGGGACTGTGCAGGACACAAGGGTGATGGAGGGGTGCTGCAGGACACGAGGGTGATGGAGGGACTGTGCAGGACACAAGGGTGATGGAGGGACGGTGCAGAGCACAAGGGTGATGGAGGGACTGTGCAGGGCACAAGGGTGATGGAGGGACGGTGCAGAGCACAAGGGTGATGGAGGGAC